GATAAACAGAAGACAAATTTGCACCTGTTAAGCTAGAGTCCCTGGGTGGTGAAAATAGTTGACATGCTCAGCTACTAACCTAGAGGTTGGCAGTTCAAGGTCATCCAGAGGCAACTCAGAAGAAAGGTCTGTCTCTCTACTTCCGAAAAATCAGTCACTGACAACCATATGGAGCACAGTTCTACTATCACATACATGGAATCACCATGAATCGGGATCGACTAAATGGCAATTGACAAAGCTAGAAAATATATGAACCTCTTTCTTAAAGTCAACGCAGTTTCCAACCTCACTGAATATTTGACCCAGATTAGTTTTAACCTCCATTTCTTCACGTGTTATAGAATCTTAGGATTAGAACGGACCTTTGTTGTTGTTGTTGTTAGATGCCATAGAGTCATCTTCAACTCATAGCAACCCTATGCACAGCAGAATGAAACACTTCCCAGTGCCAGCCTCATGGTCCTTGCTATACCTGGGCCTATCGTTGAAGCCACTGTGTCAATTCATCTCATTGAGGGTCTTCCCCTTCTTCATTGACCCCCCACTTTACCAAGTATGGCATCCTTCTCCAGGGAATGGTTCCTCCTGACAACATGACCAAAGTAGGTAAGAAAGTCTAGCCATTCCCATTTTCAAGGAGCATTCTGGCTGCACTTCTTCCAGGACAGATCTGTTCTTTCTTCAGACAGTCCATGGTACTTTCAGTATTCTTTGCCAGCACCACAAGTCAAAGGCATTATTTTGGTTACCTAGGAAGCTCTGGTAGCATAGTGCCTAAGGCACTTGGCTGCTAACCAAAAGGCTGGCGGTTCAAACCCACCAGCCACTCCTTGGAAGGAAGATAGGGCAATCTACTTCTGTAGTGATACTGCCTCGGAAACCCAAGGAGGGGTAGCTGTGAGTCGGGTCCAACTCGATGGCACCTAACAACAACAACAACAGCAAATTATATTGTATCAGGTTTCCAGCTTTAGCCCATGTTGTTGTTGTTAGGTGCTATCGAGGCAGCTCCAACACTAGAGACCCTGTGTACAGCAGAACGAAATACTGCCCAGTCCTGCACCAGCCTCACAATCCTTGCTGTACCTGAGCCCATCGGTGCAGCCATTGTGTCAAGCCATCTCATTGAGGGGCCTTCCTCTTTTTCACTGACCTTGCACTTTACCAGTATAATATCCTTCTCCAGGGAATGGTCCCTTCTGACAACACGACCAAAGTAGGTGAGACAAAACCTGGCCATTCTTGCTTCCAAGGAGAATTCCAGCTGCACTTCTTCCATGACAGACCTGTTTGTTCTACTAGCAGTCTATGGTACTTTCAGTATTGATTGCCAATACCACAACTCAAAAGCATCAACTCTTCTTTGGTCTTCCTTATTCATTGTCCAGCTTTCACATGCCTATGAGGCAATTGAAAATACTATGGCTTGGGTTAGGTGCACCTTAGTCTTCAAAGAGAAACCTTTGCTCTTTAGCACTTTAAAGAGATCTTTTGCAGCAGATTTGCCAAATGCAATACAACATGATTTCTTGATTGCTGTTTCCATAGGTGTCGATTGTGGAAACAAGTAATAGGAAGTCTTTGACAACTTCAATCTTTTCTCCATTTATCGTGATGATGCTTATTGGTCCAGATGTTAGGAATTTTGTTCTATGTTGAGGTGTAATCCATACTGCAGACTGTAGTCTTTAATCTTCATCAGTAAGCACTTCAAGTTATCTTCACTGTCAGCAAGCAAGGTTGTGTCATCTGCATATCACAGGTTGTTAATGAGTCTTCCTCTAATCTTGATGCCTCATTCTTCTTCATATAGTCCAGCTTTTCAGATTATTTGCTTAGCATACAGATTGAATAAGTATGGTGGAAGGATACAACCCTGATACATACCCTTAGCTCATAGTAGCCCCAAAATATCATTATTTAAGTTCCAGAAAAAGAAGCAAAGTAAAGCATTTGAAGATAAAGACAAACCTTTGATCCTCAACTATGGCCTCTCAATTCGTGAGAAATTATTATTTTATAAAAAAAACTTCATGTAGAATCAGAAATCAAGCCTATAGAACTCTTCAAAGAATGAATTAACTTTAAAAGGCAACATGTAAACACTTCTTATATTCATATATGCCTAATGAAGTACAATGAGTCCATTGTAGATGTTGTGAATAGACAAAGAAAAATATCTCTCCAGGATTGTGGTAGCTAGAGATAGTTAAAGTTAAGGCAAACTCCAAATCTGTCTACCATTATTTCAATTATATTTAAAAAACAGATATGGACTTAAGATGAACTTTCTTTATGGAATATTACAGAAATGTCCTAATTTTCCATTCCTAAATTCATCAATCTGTGGACTGAAATGCTCAGCTATCTTGTAGACTGAGTCATGTCAAATTCTGAGCTCACCTAAGAGAGGTGACAAACAAGATGTTTGGTTGTGCTATTAGTTTTTGCTGTGCTGGTGACTACTCTCTATTTCATAAGAGGAAAACTCTGATGAGTTTCATAACTGCTGACAGTTAGAAGAAGAGAATTATGGCAACACACAGAAATGTTATCTGCCATCCCAAGGTGAAGGTTGGTGCCTTACTCCAGTAGCAGGCACCAATAGGGTATTAAAAGCAGGATCAAGTGGGGGATGCTTGAAATGGAATGCTAAGTAAGTCCTGGAATCCCAAAGCCCATCCCTCCCCATCTACAACCCATACAAGAAGTTTGAAATGAGTTGTTTCTGAGTAAGCCAAGTTTGAAAGTTTCTGGAACCATTCCCACCATCCCACACCCAGCCACCAAATTGCTATCCCATAATCAACAAGCAAGTCCCAACTATGTCCCATTAAGAAATTTATAGCCTCAACAAAGAGTACCCATTACCTGTGTTAGACTACAGGGACAGGTAGTACATTCTAGGCCAAGTAACCTTCTCCTTCATCATGACCCTAAGAGAAAAACCAAAGCACATCATCTGCTCTTTACTGGCTGACCCCTTTGGCCTCTTGAAATAGCCACTTAGCAGGAAGCATGTAGAGGTCCTTTGTGGATTACAAAGAACCGTGTAAGCCATTTGAGTCTTTCTTCTAATTTATAGTCCCAGGAAAAATTATAAAAACAAAAAACATTGTTTACAGAGCTCAGGGAACTAGCTTGGCTTCGCTTGCCAAGGTCTGGCTGGCGAGCAGAAGCTAAAAGAAGAGTTCTGTACTAGTTGATTCTCCAATGGCAAGAGAGAGCACTACTGAGGCTCCTGCTGGGGCCAGCTGCATGGTTCCTCCTCAACCCCACAACCCGGAGGAGACCGTAGGGTTTGCTCCAAGTGAAAGCTGCAGACCCTGCCCACAGAGACCACCAATGGACCCTCACTGAGTTACTACCTCCAGCTGCCCTCAGCATGACAATAAACCTGCCTTGCAGAGGAAGTGTCCAACAGGTTGCTGTGCCAAGCATCAGGAAAACATTTGGGTTCTTAGAGGATGCCATGAACGACTGGCACTTTGAGCAGCAAGGCAGCCACAGGGAACTCCCTCAGCGACTGATGGCCAAACTACTTTGGTACCAGGCTGTTACCATGGTCTGAACTCCCCCAATTAGGGAGGTCAAAATGTACACAGGGATTTTGACTTTCAAAACCCCATCCTGAAATATGGTATCATTGGGAAGTGAAAGTAAGACTTTTCATTTAAAATACAATGTGCTCTTGTGTGTTAGGAATTAAGATTGATTTATTGCACTTTTCTGGTTCAGTAGTTCAGATATTTTCTTCCATGAAACCTAGGCATCATTGGAGAAGACTCACCCAGCCCAAGTCCCCTGAGGGAGGTGAGGAAGATGAGAGAAGGTGCAGATATAGACTCCTGCCCTCACCTCAGCCAGAGCAACTTGACTTTTGTCTGTTTTAGGTGTTGGTTTTGGTTTAATAAAAGATTTACTATGACAAATGTTTACAACTAACTCAAGTACATTTTTAGTTCTGTGTAAGCATGTTTTGCCCTCTCTTTTCATTCTAGAGCCAGGAGAAGTGTGAGCAAACCAAAACAAAATAAAAGTCAAACAACTTGCTCAATTGAGAGGTCTAATTTGCAAATATCAAAATAAATCTCATAGTGTTCCCTCCAAGCTATCAGAATCACATGAAAAATGGAAATTGAGTTCAATTTGTTGCAGTCTAGGAGTTATTCTGATCTCTCTGGGGAGGTGGGAGAGAGAGAGTACTATCACACTGCTATTATTATCAGTTTTAAGTTCTAAGGCTACGGGAGACACTATTGATTGTGACAATACCATTCCTTCACAGGCCATATAAGACCATGGAAAGGGGTCCTCAGAAAATGGGAACCAATATTTATTTAGGATCTACTATGTGTCCGGGACTGTACTAAGCACTTCTCATACATTATTTCACTGAATCCTCAAATAGTGCTTACAAGGAAGCTGCTGTTAATCCATTATACAAATTGATACACTGAGACTCAGAGAGCTTAAGTGAGTTTTCCAGAGTCACACAACAAGTCTCCTGGGTTCTACGAGGCACCTGTGCTTTGCTCCATAGGGAGCCGTTGTACTCTGCACATATAAGGTTGCCATGAGTCAAGATCAACAACAACAGTGCTAAAAAGATTAAGAGATTTTAGCACATGATCTTTTAATTAATATTCCTTACCATCTGCCAACTAACCCAATATATAAAGAAAGGCTAGGACTGAGCATAGACAAACTCCTTGCATATAAGTTGCTAAGGAGTTGGTGAGAATTTGCACAAATGAACTATGTGGTGGATGAATTAGTACTAATGAATGGGGTAGACTCCACAAGACATAATGGATTCCAGAAGGATTGGTGTGGTCTGGGATTGTTGACGAAGCATCAACAAGAGGTTGAAGGATTGGCAAACGTATAGCTTGACTAGATATGGGGAGAGGAGAGGCATTGGGAGCTGGGTGGAAGACTGTGAAGATGTCAGACTACCTGCTTAAGCCAGGCCACTCTGCATTTGATTTGTACAGACAAGCCCACAGGGTACGGCTCCAGCAGTCGGCGGGCACCTCAGACAGGCATCGTGGATGAGTGCTGCTTCCGGAGCTGTGATCTGAGGAGGCTGGAGATGTACTGCGCACCCCTCAAGCCCTCCAAGTCAGCCCGCTCTGTCCGTGCTCAGCGCCACACTGACATGCCCAAGGCTCAGAAGGTAAGCCAGCCCGGGTGGGATCTGGCCATCCTCAAGTGATCTGTGTCTTAGTCGTGGGGATAGGTCAAATAGTATGCCCAATAGTCTCCTAGTTTAGAGATCCTGGAGGGTGAAATGGTTCAAGTCCATCCAGAGATTCCTTGGAAGAAAGGCCTGGTGATCTACTTCTGAAAAATCATCCAATGAAAACCCTTTGGAGCACAGCTCTACTCTGACACACAGAGGGTTGCCATGAGTTGGAGTCAACTCAGCACAACTGGTAGTCACCTAGTTTACAGTTTAAGAAAGTTCCATTTCCATCTTAGATATCCATCCCTTTGGTTCTTTCCATTGCAAATTCTCCCTTCCACTGCTCTGGATGATCTAGAGGATGGTAGAGAGCAGTGATTCAACTACGGTATTAGACAAAACTGAAGTCACCACTCACCCGCTGAGAGCTGTTGGGCAATAACACAACACTTGCAAGCTTAGTTTCATCAGTAAAATGTAGATAATAATAATACCTACCACATCAGGTTGCTGTGAACATTAAATAAGTTAATTCATATATGATGCTTTTCATGTGCCTGCACAAAGTTGCTGTTGAATAAGTGTTAACGTCTGTCATTTATTGCTATTATTAATAACAAGGCATGTGACCTTTCGAGTTCTGGGATCCTGTGATGGTGCAAAGTAAAAAAAAAAAAAAATCTAAAATGGGAACTATTTGAAATTCACATTCAGTGGCAAATATAACTTTTTTAAAATGTTAAAAATAGGAATTTCTATTTGGCTCTAAGAACACCTAGAAATTTCTAAGGAACTAAATCTGCAGGCATCTTTTTCTAAGAGTGACACTTTGAACAGAGCTTAGTGGTACTGTCTATGCCATCAGAAGATTGTAAAACAACTGATGCACATTAGCCACTTGATGAAGTTTTGTTGAATGAGTGAATGAATGAATGACAAAATGAGTATAAGTTATTAACTAAAATTTTAGTTCATTCATTAAGTAAAAAGAATGAGAACTAAAGAGAAGGTGAGGGAGGAAAAAGGAAACGCAGGATGAGTAGAGAAATAAACAGCTCTCATTTAGGTCTCCTCAGGGATTCATAAAAAAGGCCAGTGTGTGGTTTTAACCTTTGGAGCCAAAATGAGCATTGTGCAGAAAGCATGAGATGAGAGACCGAGAGGTTCACAATGCCACCTTGGCTGCGTCCTGGTCCTAAACTGCAGCTGAGGCAGAAGGAGAACTCTGGGGCTTAGCAGAGGTGTACCCTGGGCAGCCACCCTGGGCAACGGAAGGAACTAGAAAGAACACAGTAGCCACTAGGGGAGTCAGGGAGCAAGTGCCTCAGAAGTAACCTTCAAGTGAACATGGCGGGAAAGTATGCTTGAGAGGGTGAAAGCAAGTTAATTCTTTCTCTTCCAAGATAACCTAGTTCCTCTCAAAGTCTAGTTAGGGAGGGGGTGGGTGTCAGAGACGGGTCCCACAGATCCAAACTGTTGAGTCTTGGGGCTGAGGTGTAGACACATCTCCAGCACTGATGCTTCATCCCTCTCATCATGTGGAGCCCAGACTCAGAGGTTCTGTCTTCAGGGACACCACAGGAGCCACCTATTCTCAATGCAATTATTTTTGTGATGTTTACAGTATCGGCCCCCATCCACCAACAAGAAAACAAAGAAGTCTCAGAGGAGAAGGAAAGGTGGGCCAAAGAAACAACTAGGAGGGGAGCAGAATGAGGGGGCCGAAGCAAGTCAGCAGATCAGAGGACGGAAGACAGAGCAGAGGAGGGAGACTGGAGCTAGAAACTCTGCACACAGAGGCAAAAGAGGAAAATGGAGGAGAGAAGGAGTAAGCAGACAGAGACAAGGACAGCGAGAGAGAAACAGCAGAAGGAAAAGCAGGAAATGCCGTAGAGGAAAAGAAGACGCACAGGCCTTATGGAACAAGATAGCACATGTGATCGAAAGAAGAGGAGTAAATATGCTGTGGAATGTAGCTAAAAATGGTGGAAAATGAAAAATTAAAAAAAAAAAAAAAGGAATGCCCAAGAAAGCCCAAAGAAAGATAGTGCCAAGAATGGGGGGGAAAAAAAGTAAAAGAAGCAAATACATAACAAAACATCCTCCCTCAAAATAAAAAATATAGAGTAAAATTTTTAAGATAAAAAAAAAAGGCTTTTATATGCATTTTTAAAACATTTGTAGAAATCTATTGTAGAATAATTGCCCATGTCAATATATATCCAGAGTTAAATATTAGCCCAAAATTCTCTGCAAGACTGAATTGTGTCATAGAAGTTCCCAGATTTCTTGTCCTGCAGTGCCTTTGGAGGCTACATTTCTCAGTCAAGTCCAGGTTTCTGGCCAAAGGACATCTAGTATTTGCTTAACAGTGTATGAGGCCTGTGAGGTAACCCATGAGAGGTGGTCACTGACCTTTTTTTTGCACTTTGGAATTCTGATATAGAAGACTCTGATGTCTGACTACTGCCTTCTGACTCTCTCTCGGAAATCTCTCTCTTTCTCTCTCTCACAGTCACACATGCATGCTCATGTGAACGCACACAACCCCCCCCCCCCCCCCCCCCCACACACACACCACCTCTCAATATCTAAACCTGAAATCCTGTAAGGTTCTGCTACATAAAAACGTTGTTGTTGTTGTTATGTGCTGTCGAGTCAGACCCGACTCATAGTAACCCCTCCTTGGGTCTCCGAGGAAGTTATCACTACAGAAGTAGGACCATGTTATGTTAGAGGAGTCCCTGGGTGGTGCAAACAGTTAATGCACTTGGCTGCTGACCCAAAGGTTGAAGGTTTGAGTCCATCCAGAGATGTATTAGAAGAAAGTCTTGGGTTATAAGCTGTGCTCCTCCTGGTCAGCAAAGAACAGAACACAATCAACATGAACTAACAAAGATTTCCAAAATGAAAAGGTGGGGAAGTAATGGCCCCATGGATTCCCTTCTAGTTTCATAGTTTTCTACCCAAAGAAAGGAGGTGAATGAGAACAAGGATGTACTAGACTTTCCTGAGACTATAAAGGAAAGCTAAGTAGCATCACAGAATGTAGATCCTAAAGATCTTCTCATTCAACTCCTTGATTTAATCTGTAGGATTGAGGTCTTCCTAGACAATGAAATGAAAAGTATTCAAAATCATCCAAATTGTCACCTATAAGAGCTGAGAGAAGGTACAAGAAAGAATTGCCTAGCCAAGCAAATATGACATGTGAAGGCAAGATGACTATAATGAGAAGTGAGACAACTCAGCCACAGAGCACACTCTGAAGATGTCATGGTATAAAGGAGCGTCTTTCTGCCTGGTCCATCATACCCCTTCCCTGCCTTCTACTTCAGCATCATCCTTTCTTCATAGTTCTCTGAAAACTCAAGATCCCTGGAATATGGTGGACATGGCCAAGGCTTAACCCAGGAGAAAAAGTCCAGTCAGTATATCAAAATCCCGAATGGGAACCAACGCACTGCCACAGAGAGTTACAAAGTGGATACTGACTTAACAGAATAGATGAAAGCAAGATTGTTGCCTTAGCCCACCTGGTCAGCCACCTGGAGACAGAGTCTTAGGATTCAGGAGCCAGGAGACACTGTGTTCTCCTGTTAAGACATTCATGCTTTGGGACTAGCCTCAGGCTTAGGCCAATACCTACTGGGACCATAACTGGAGAGTAGCCCACAAACAGATGCCTCTTCAAGGGACCACAGTTCAGCAAAGGAATTAAGAGTTTATGACCATGGAAAGGTCCCTTGCTGGATTATCTCTTCCCTCTTTCATTGATGACTGAGTAAATGTCCATTAGATCTCAAGGCTTTGCATAAACTATAATTCTTGATTTGCTTTGGCTATCATCAGAAAACTTCCAGCCTTCCCTAGCCTAAAATTATACTCAATGAGAAACTTAATTTAAGAAGAACAATAACTAGGCTTTATAAAAGAAAAAGAAAAAAAAAAAAAAAAAAAACACTAGAACTTTCCAGTTAAAGAATGCTTAACTCCCAGACTAAGCATTAAAGCACACTTCTTTTTGGACTGGATTGATGCAAGCATCTCAAAAGCCTGTATATGACTACTGAATATATGAGTTAGAAAGCAGGAAGTAGCTATTACTGTTTTTCCATCTCCTCCTTCCTGGTTTAAGTGCCCAAGCACCTGGTGATCTATGGCACATACTGCTGGCTGGCTGGACAAATGCAATAGACAGAAAAACAGACCATGTAAATTAATTGTATTTCTGACATGAAATGATTCCTCTTGCCCCACATAGAATAATGAGGCAAGTGAAGAATAAAAAAGGGAAGGCTGAGAAACTGAGTTTAACACAAATATTACATGTTTGGGATTTCCTTCTCTGCCCTAAAAGGAAATTGTTCAAAGAATTACTCCTACAGGTGGCAACCGGCTGAGTATTTTATAGAAAATGCTGTGTATCTATTAGTCTCCTCAGTGCTTTCTAAAAGTAGGCACATTAATAATCAACATTTAAAATTCTACTGTTCCTACTTCAATACTTAGGCCTAATTGATGACTGTGTGTGAAACTAGCAGGATTATGTAAGGAATCATGATCCTTAAAGAAAATTGTTTTAAAATTGCTTTTATTGAGTACCTACAACATGCAAGCCTCTATCTAGGCATCAAAGAGAGTTCCAAAGATTTGAGTTCATAAAAGGAAGGCATTGAATGTACAGAATTAGACTGCCTGGGTTCAAATTCTGGGTTTGGGGAAGTCACGTAAATGTCTCTGTGCCTCAGTTTCTTCATCTGTAGAGTAGAGGCAGTAATCAAATCTACCTCTAGTGGACATACTGAGATAATTTACATATAAATGTATGTGTGTGTATAAACCAATACATATTATAGTGCTTAAAATGGTACCTGGCCCATAGTAAGTACTATTAAAGTATTCCAAACCAAACCAAATTATTGTCGCCGAGTCGGATGGAACTCATAGTAACCCTTCCTTGGGTTTCTGAGGCGATATTACTACGGAAG